AAGGTTAATAATTTTCTCCTTGATCCCTGGATGACTGCTGAGGAAATTTTTCTCTATTGAAAGTACTGCATGTCTATTTAGTCTTTCAGGATTCATAGTGCTCATTAGAAAAGTTTTTGTTCTTTACAGTGTTTAAAGGCAGTGTTTTGGCTCTGATGTAGTCATGGGAATTGTCAAGAGGATTTTTATCAGTTTCATAATTTCCCTAAGAACACCATCTAGATTATCTTCCAAGATACACCTCAGCAGCTCAGTTAATTTGCAATATTCATGCATATCGGATCTACAATACTTTTAGTGCAGCTTCAAGCTTTTCTTTGCCAATCATGGGATATGCATCAGTTAAACTTTTCTTGTTGAACAATGTAGCAGCTACTAAGTGTTTCGTGGAAGAATATCTCTCCATTATATCAACACATACGCAGTTACACACTTTCTATGGTTCTGCCATGATTGTCTTTGAAGGATTTTCACAGTACTTCGAGTTTCTTATTTCTAAAATAGCAGTTTTTGAAATCTGTTATATATTCATTGACTTTAAACACACTAATTTCTCGAGATTACATTTGGTTGTAAATTCCTTTAACATGGGGCATATGATGAAAAAGCTCTAACCAAAACATGAAATTAACATCATTCAGGTATTTTAAAATTCCTGTTGCTTCTGCAATAGATTGATTTGCATTTGTTGAATTTCAGTAAGGCAGCTTTTTAAAGACTGCAAATTTTCATGATTTCTGTCCGTTTGTTAAAAAATTCATTCTTGTAGAGGATGGACGTGGAATGCTGACGTTCCTATGCTTCTTGAGAATGGATACAGTTTCTGGTTATCTTGAGGAGACTGTTAGAAGAGCCAAAATGTTGGAGAAAAATATTCTTGCGTTTCGTGTAATTGTTGTGGAGTGTTTTCACAGTGGAGGCTTGTATCTGTACTAAGTCGGTCCTAAAATAGGTTCGACGTACAAAACGTTAGGAACTTGATATAATAGGTAATGACGCAGAGAAATCTAGTGGTGGTCGCTGATACTTTTAGTATCCGACATCGACTGACTGACCAACTCCACTGAGAGTATTTAATCATCCCCACAAGGACATCATGTGGCACAAGGCCGGTTTAACGTGGGATCTCCGAGCCCGTGGGCTCAGCCAAAAAATATGCCCTTTGAACCCGTATAAACGGGTTCAGGGTCGGTTTACCTCCCCGAAAGAGAATCCGCCCTTCGGCGTAGCCTCTTTCGGGTTCCTCCCCGCTCGAAGGCAGAGAATTCAACCGGTCAGCTGGTCGTCCGACTTCAGACTGAACTCAGACCAACTCCACTGAGCAACTCAGCGACTTCTACTACACCTACTTATTATAGGTGGGAGAGTCTATTAACTATAGAATAGGTGTGTTCCACTATAATAGTAATACTTGCTGCATTTCTCATTATTAAATTAAGTTGATATGCATGAATGAAATGTGCACTACTATAAATTGCGTTCGTTTTTTTTTGGGGGGGGTTGTTTTGTTTTTTGGGGTTTTTTTTTGTTTGTTTTGTTTTTGATTAAATTCCTCCTTTTTTTGCCTTTCGTGACATTTTCACCGTCAAATGTGTCCATTTCCTTGAAGGATTATGTCTAATTGTTCTAAAATACGTTTTTTGATACGCTGTCTACCGTTTGATTTTTGGAATAAAGAATCCCGAAAACGCTCGATCGAATCTATCTATCTATCTATCTATCTATCTATATATATATATATATATATATATATATATATATATATATATATATATATATATAGAGAGAGAGAGATAGATAGATAGATAGATAGATAGATAGATAGATATGAAATATATATATATATATATATATATATATATATATATATATATATATATATATATATAAATAAAGAGGTTGTAGTGGTTCCAACGAGAGAAAAGTATGTATATTAAAAAGAAGAGAAGAGGTGTCGCAAACGTTTTGGAATAAAAAAAATATTATGCTTTGTTTGTAAAACAAAGCATAATATTTTTTTCTAAATAAATCCACATTACAACCAAAAACATTTGCGGCACCTCTCTTCTCTTCTTTTTAGTATATATATATATATATATATATGAAGAGTTTGTCTCTTATCTGTAGATGGCCAAATCAATTCATATAAGCTAGTTAAATTTGGTGAGCATGTTTATTGTACCCAGAGTAATCTTTTCTTATTATTTACCCACGGAAAAACTGTTTCACGCAGTGCAATATTCAAAATGGGTGCTTACTTCCCTTGGAAAGCACCTAAGCTCTACCATTGTTTTTCACATTTTTTTTCAAGAGGAAGTTCGAAATAACTGAATTCCTTTTGTTTATCAATTCATTCATGTTCTTGAATTCTGTGATTTTCCCTTTCCCTTCTATACAAAGATGGCAATTTCGTCTTCTGGCTTTCTTTATCTTTTTTTTTATTATTATATTCCATTCACTAGTACTACTCACTTATTTTTTTTATTTCCCATATGTGTTTTGACAGCATCGTACTATTTCTGTATCTTTCATATAAATAAATAAAAGATATAGAAATATTGCTGTTTAAACGCATGTGGAATAAATAATCTTATAAAAAAAAATATATATATATATATATATATATATATATATATATATATAGGCAGAATATCTTCGTTCAAGCATTTTCATTGAATAATATAAATATATTATTGATATTAAGTTGAAATATTAGGTTGGTGCAAAAATAAGGACGTGCAAAAATAAGGAATAATGTCGTTTTTGACGTTAAAAAATACGTCAAAAACGACATTATTACGTCATTATTTTGCACCAACCTAATACATCAAGGAAGGCACTGTAGTTTTTTCCTTACCCAAGTACTTTCGATCTCCTCCGAGATCATTCCCAGGAGTGAATTACGAAGACAAACTAAATGTAAACATATGTGAAAGCACTCTGTTATAATTATTTTAAAATTTTAAATTCATCCGTTGTAGCTACGGTGTTTTTTGTGTATGTATACACATACAAAAAATTCAACCATCAATACATAAAGACAGGTATGTAAAATACAGTTAAAAGCCCGCACCCTTAAACGTATATAAAAAAAAGTACATGTCACACCTCGTTTTCGTCACAATACTCCTTTCCTATAGTCATATATATACACTAAATCTAGTATATCCAACTCACTTATTCGTAATGATTCTTCCCCACTGCCTGTTAGCGATTTGCAAAAAAACAACATAGTTTACAAATTCAAGTGCCCTTTGGGAGATTGTATCTCCAATGAATTAAATAATATTTATATTGTTCACTCCAGAAATTCGCTTTCACGACGCTTGACACTACATTTGAATGAAAGCTCTAACATTTTTAGGCATTTAAAACAACATGCCTGGCCGCATACACAATTCCGGAAAATCCTCGTTGAAAACACAACTCTACTTAAAACATGAAAACAATAAACAAAAACTAAAAATTCTTGAAGCTATATACATAAAAGAGTTGAAAACCTGAACAAAATAAACTTTGAAATCTCCACAAATATTCTTAAATGCCTATAATTGATAACAGAAGCTATTGGTTTATACCAACGACTTCCCATACTTAAAACTTCTCGTTTTCACTCTCGTGTGGTCATGTGTGAAGTCATAAGCTGCGTGCGATAGTCGCTTCCGCGTCTCGTATACACGACTTTGTTGTTGCTTGGAAATCTTTCGTGTAAACAAAAACAGACTATCATTATTGTTTTGTCCGTGTATTGTTTAATATATTGAAATGTAATTGTCATCTTTGATAATGGCTTATGTAAGCCGAAAGCTTAGTTAGGATTAAAAAAACATGTATCAATATGGTGTTTTTCTTTCATCTTTCAATGATAATGTTAATAAGCTTATCAGATAATATGAAAGGAATTTACTTAAAATAAATAAACAAAGCTTGTCTATATTATTTAATGAAACATGCTTCAATATATATATATATATATATATATATATATATATATATATATATATATATATATATATATAGTTAAACTCGTTCTTCTTCCGAAAAAGGGACAGAATTTTCCTCCTCGAAGGATTATTAGGATTTTGAAAAGTCGATTATCAAAAATCGCACTATACTAGAGTATATTTTGTGCAATGGGTAAATTGTCGCCATTTTATATTTTAATGCGCGTTATTTATTTTTGATTTGTGTTGACTGCACAGTATAGTACGGTCAGTTGGGCACCATCTGTGAAAAAAAGAGTACCATGACGAAATTCATTCTACCAGATGATGTACTGCTTGGCATTCGCACCGGAAGCTTCAATACGAACATTTCAAAGTGTTTGGGTGTCAACCTGTTGACAGTGCAGAGAATTCGGAAGGAGTTGGATGAGTCTAATGGTTATTACATAAGTGCATCAGCTCGGAAAATCCACACTGATCTTTCTGATAAGAAAAGAACTCCCGAACTTGTTGGTGAGGGCCTCAAACTCAACACGGAGGCCTACACCAGGTGCTTCGTGGACGTAGTGCTACCATGGGTCAAGAGAGTGGCTGCTGGAAGACTCTATGTCTGGCAAAAGGACTCTTCATTGTGCCAAACAAGCAAGAGAACACAATCAAGGTTGTCAGACAATTTCTGCAAGCAAATCACCCCTTACATCTGGCCACCTAACTCTGCAAATTGCAGCTGAGCGAGAGATCAACAAAGATTTTTATAACACTAAAGATGACCTGGAGGCAAGGATTATGGCATCATTCACCAACTTAAACGTGGAGACCGTCCAGAAGAGTTGCAGGAGATTCCGATGTCATCTGGAGGCCGTAGTAATCTTATTCTGCCTATTTTCATTCCAATCTGAGAATGGAAACAACTCACTTTCTTTTATTAAAAAAAGAATTTTGCTAATTTAATAGAATACATTTATTTATTAAGATATTTCCAGATTGAAATTCTGTTCTCATTATATTTCGTCCTTTGGTTTTCTTTATGTATTTTATTATATCCAATTCTTCTACTTGTTTTTTTAGATAGATAGATAGATAGATAGATAGATAGATAGATAGATAGATACGGACATACTGAGATAGATAGATAGATAGATAGAAACATACTGAGAGATAGATAGATAGATAGATAGATAGATAGATAGATAGATAGATAGATAGATCCGGACATACTGAGATAGATATAGACATATAAGATAGATAGAGATAGATAGATAGATAGATAGAGATAGATAGATAGATAGATAGATAGATAGATAGATAGATAACATACTGGGATAGATGAGAAACCGGGATAGATAGATAGATAGATAGATAGATAGATAGATATCTCCAGATAGATAGATAGATACGGACATAGATAGATAGACGAGATAGATAGATAGATAGATGGAGATAGATAGATAGATAGATAGATAGATAGATGGACAGATAGATGAGATAGATAGAGATAGATAGATAGATAGGACATGGATGAGATAGATAGATAGATAGATGCTTGAGGAGCGAGATAGATGGATAGATAGATAGATAGATAGATAGATAGATAGATGGATGGATGGATGGATCAATGAGATAGATCAAAGATATGGATGGACAGAGATAGATAGATAGATAGATAGATAGAGATGATAGATGAGATGGATAGATAGATAGATAGATAGATAGATAGATAGATAGATAGATACATACTGAGATAGATAGATAGATACATATTGAGATAGATAGAAACATACTGAGATAGATAGATAGATAGATAGATAGATAGATAGATAGATAGATAGATAGATAGACAGATTGAGATAGATAGAAACATACTGGATAGATAGAGAGACCATAGATAAAGATAGATAGATAGATGATCTATCGAGAGACCAACAAAGATCTATGTCCAGTATTTATCTATCTATCTATCTATCTATCGATAGATAGATAGATAGATAGATAGATAGATAGATAGAAAAGAACATACTGAGATAGATAATTAAAACAGACTGTAAGAGATTGATAAACACGGACAGACTGAGAAAAAAAAAAGAAAGAAAGAAAGAAAGAAAAAAAGAAAGAAAGAATGAATGAATGAATGAATAAGGTATACAGGCAAACAGATATTGGTTAATCAAGAAAATCCGTTAGGTAGCGTTAACACTGATTACTTTGAACTAACTTCATTTGCAAAAAAAAAAATCATTTTAATTCTTGTAACAGCTGTCACAACAATCTACCTTTTTTTTTTTAATTGTTGCAATTGACATATTTTAATTTATTGATCCTAACAGTGAAAATCAAAGTAAACAAGCAACATTCTTCAGCATATTATATATCTTTTTTTTTTCTTTTTTTTTAATGTGAAAACGAAATTCAATCACAAAAATAGAATTGTTCCATTTATGGAGAAAGTTATGCAAATGAGCAAACGCCGTGTCCAAAGTGAATCAAAAAGTAAGCTACAGGATATTTCGCGCTGAACGTCGCTGTGGCTAACATCAATTCAAGACTTTACTTGAAAATAACATCTGACGGCTCAGAAGATAGACAAATGGGTAAGTTTTCATTTTAACACCCGAACGCTAATATCCCTTCAAATTTTTCCAAAATAGTCTTATTTCCGTGCAAATGTATATGCTGAACTCAAACCAACAATTAGATATTGAAGAAACCCACCTTTTTGGATGTTAACAACCCGAAAAAAAATCTGACTTTTTCCTGGTCTTTCGTCAGCCATTACCGGTTTATTGATAAGTAATTCAGTGCTGAATTTTGTTGGTGGACGTATACAATTTGGGCCTATTTACTTCCTTCACAGTACTTCCTTGTAGAAATTAGTACGCGCTTCCGTAAAGCGATTTTTTTGTACTTAATTTAAGAAGAAAGTTAACTTTCAAATATATGTAAACATCGACAAATAAAAGAATAACAAAGTAATTTTTTTTAAGAAGAAAGTTAACTTTCAAATTAGGGTTAGGTGTTTTTTTGTTTTTTTTTTTGGTTATTCTTTTATTTCTTTTATTTTTTTAAGAAGAAAATTAACTTTCAAATTAGGATTAGGTGTTTTTTTTTCTTTTGTTATTCTTTTATTTGTCGATGTTTACATATATTTGAAAGTTAACTTTCTTAAATGAAGTACAAAAAATCGCTTTACGGAAGCGCGTACTAATTTCTGAAAGAAAATAGTTCAGCAGTGAATTGACGCTCGGGTGTTAAAATGAAAATTTACCGACAAATGAACACCTGCTGTGCCGACCAAAGGTAAGACTGAGTATATTACTAGGATCGGAAAGGAGTACTCCTCTGCGAGACCCTTCTAAACAACTAAACAATTGATTCGATCTCTTCATACTAACAGTCATGATTGCAAACGAATCATCTTTTGCGAGCTCTTTCTAAACAAACAAACTATTGATATTAACTTTTAACGAGACCAACTGAATGTAGCAGATGACAAAAGCTCCTTTGGAACTGCGAAACAGAAAGGGCTTCATATTTCCTCATGATAACAACGCTAGACACAATGTTTTATTAGTGAGTTTAAGCTATGAGACAATTGGCTGTAGAAGAGATACGTAGTAGCAGAAACAGAACCTTTATAAAACCGATGCTTTCCAAAAGATGGTCTTTCTTTTCTTTTCCTCTGCTTATGCCTTTGGCCACAAACCTAACGAGAAACACTCCTCTCCATCTGGCAATACTTTTATTTATTCAAAAGTGGAGACATCTTGATATGGCTAAAAATCGATTTGATGGAATAAATATTTTTTTATATTAAATTTTAACCTGTCGTGCATTTGCTTTCGTTTTGCATCATTTTGTTGAAAAGAGTTTTAATGGTATAGATACCTCCTCTGTTGGTATACATACCAATTAAATTCAAAACTTGTTACAGTTTAGCTATCTACCGCATTCAGCGGTTATTACACCCTCGGATTTGTTCCGATATTTACAGAAATCTTTTAATGAAAAAAAAATTCTCTGAAAGAATACAAATGGTAATCTTAATGATAATACTAACCGTTTCCTTATAAGGGAACATTTGGTATTTGTTGGCCGAGCAGTCAACACTACTTTCTGTTGAAATTTATAAAATCATTCTATTATTACTATTTTTCAGTAAAATTGTTTTGTTTTGTTTTTTTCGAATCCAGTGATTGTTATTGCTTTTTCCAGTGTTTTTTTTTTTAGTGTTTCCATCCTAACCTTTTGTTTGAAGTGGTGTGGAATATCAACATCTTAATTATATCCATTATTTTCTCTTCAAGTTACAGGTGATATCTGCTGTTGAAACTGCTCAAGTGATGTGGTTTCTGTATGCTTTGTACAGTTCTTTCTTTGTGATCATGTAGCGCCAGTTCACTAGGTTCGGAGAAGATAACTAAAACAGTCCTTTGATCAGAAAGATAAAAAAAAAAAGATCTGAGCGGATGGCAATATGAATTTGCTGGACATTTTTAATGGATCAAAAAGGTAAATATGCTGTTTAATAAAGTCAATATTAAATACAAATATTTTCACAGTAACTGCTCCGACGAGTTACTTTCGCTGGTTCCCAAACTGCATGAATTTAAACGTGCTACTAGGTTGGTATCTCAGTTCCACCCTTTCACTGTAGAAACGGTTAAATGTAGCTGTCTCTTCTACAATATCTTTATGTGTCGCACTTCCCGTCTGTGGAACTCCCTTCCTCTTACTTGCTTCCCTGATAGCTATAATCTCCAAATATTCAAATGCAATGTCAATAGACATCTCTGTTAGACATTTTCATGACGGTCGTCCTCGAGTATAGAATCCAGATGTTGGCAGTGAATATTTCGGAGACAGTAGGAAAGCGTAGTGCAGGTTCGCAGTGGATATCGCAGCAAGGTAGCAGAGCGTAGTTCTTCCGTCTGTCCTGTTCGCCGGACAAGTTGCCTCTGGTCATTCCGCTAGGAAAACAAAGATGGCCGCCTTTATACACGACGGATACAATGTTCAGCGGCTTCTGATTGGTCAACCTTCTATTGGTGTACTATAAAGGGAATTAAGTCATTTTGACTCGCTCACTAGTTACACAGTATATACACAAAAAACCGTAACAATCTCTAGATTTATTCCCCGTCCTTCTCTTCATCCTTTCCTCTAACACGCCTCTTTACTATTGATCCCATTCTCCGTAACCCCTTACGTGCTAGTGCCATTCCCACCTTGCTTGGGGTGAAAAAAAAATAAGATTTTTGGTTTTGTTATTTGCTTTGTCTATCTGAATTTACAGTGATGTTCAATCCTGTACAAGGCTCAAGAGCCACAGAAGATAGAGTGTTACGGATTAAGAGGCATCACCTGAAGCATGGCGATAATGACACCAAGACGCAAATAGTCCATCGGAACTGAAAAGAGTTTAGAGAGAACCGGAAACCCATTCTTAAGCAGGAAAAAAGGGATAAAACTCTACTACAAAAACAGGGCAAAGTATGAACCGGATGATAGGTAAACATATCTACTCCTATTTACATTGTTCAGACTATCGTCCTCATCTTTGTTGCCATATTTATCACAACGTTTCGGCCGTTGTACGCTCCAGCCTTCTTCAGGTGGTTGCAATGTCGAACTGAACCCTTTATTTCGCTCGCTGGGGAAGACTGTTCTAGTTCCACGTGCCATGTCTAATGGATGTCAGTTATCAGTTATCTCCTGTTAATTCTCCTCTCCAAGTTCTCCACTGCCTTAACCAGGTATTGGTTAAGGCAGTGGAGAACTTGGAAATAAAGTGTTCAGTTCGACATTCCAACCACCTGAAGAAAGACGGAGCGTACAACGGCCGAAACATTGTGATAAATATGGCAACAAAGATGAGGACGATAGTCCGAACAATATAAATAGTGTATATAATACCTCATCTTAGAAATATAGACAGATATCTAATCCTATTGAAGAAAAAAAATTGCAAATAAAAGTTCGGAATTTTTAGCAATGTTAGAAGCATAGAGTTGAAGTAGATTTTTGAAGGAACTGGAAACCCAATCCTAAACAGAAAACAAGAAACCTCTACTCTTGTTCAAAAGACAGGTGAGGAGTGTGAACCGGGCGTTAGGCAAACTTATCTACTCCTAGTAATTTTCTGTCATAGGGAATTATCATTATTTTACATTATTTAAGCTCGAACTATTGTCCTCATCTTTCTTTTTATTATTCCAACTTTTCCGCTGTTGTGCATTCCAGACATTATCAGGTGCTTGTTGATCTGGATAACCATAAGTTTATATTTACCTGATGGTTACCTGGATTTACATGCACCTGTTGTGGTCAAAACGTTGAGACAATAAAATGAAGATGAAGACAATAATCCGAGTGCAAATAATGTAAATAATTTCTTCATTTTTTTTTTAAATTTCTACTTAAACCGATGAATGTTGCGAGTACATTTCTGCCACCACAAACTCGTTCCGAAGATCGTAGTATTTTTCTTTGTTCTTATGCTTTCTCTTTGAACATAAACTTAGAACAAGTACTGCCATTCTAGGTTCCTGAATAGAGTTCTTAAAAGCAATAAAAGCAAGGCCAGAAATGGAAGCGAAAGAGGCGATGCAGCTAACACAAAGATACGCAAGCAGCGTAACAGCGGAACCCAAATATGCAAATCGAATGTTAATATCTATCCCAGTGGTTAGAACGTTCGCATTCTGACCATGAGGCTCGGGATCGAATCTCACCATGGTTGATTTGTCAGGTAGGAGACTTCTTGATGTTATCGGACTGGAAGGGGTCGATCCCTGTGTGCGGCACGTTTGGAAAGTGCCTGAAAACCATACCACGGGTTGAGCCAAGCCTTGTGAGTGAAATTCGCTAGACGGAACCCTTGGGGACCGTCGATAGCTGTGCTAGCACGAAGTCACAAGTCATCGTGACCGAGGGATTGAGTGTCGTGGCCTTGTTCAAATTGTTGATCATGCTAGATAACACGCTCTTTCCCAAAAACTGTAACTAAGGTCTGCTCAATATAGTTGCAGTATAAACCACAGGTGAGCTCTGGGGGTGTTGAATAAATACAAATGCGCCTGAGAAAACGTCTGCAATAGGGATTGGCTAGCCGCCCTAGTAAACGGGTATCCTTGAATACAAATGGCCAGCTATACTATCTGGACTCACAATATCAGGTCTTTGTTTTCATAAATACACATTTAAAAAAAAAAAAGATTAAGCTGAAAAAGTATTTACTCTGAAAAGAGCCTGTGCCATTTTGGAATGAATATGGATCTACTGAGAGCTTTTACAAAAGGCAAAGTGTAATTTGATCCAGTAGAGACTCATTAACAGTAAAAGTAATCAAGATGAAATGGGTGTTGCTACCATAGTGACGACACAAATAATCAGTGTTTATATAGAAATAAAAAAAACACGTTTCGAACAGTAAATTTCGTACTCGTCCCTCTTATGGCTTGCGATTTTTTCTTTCTTCTCTTTTTTTTTTTTTTGTAGTAGTAATCTTCTTAGATGCTGAAAGTACCAGTTGATGATACAACTTCAATCCAAACTTATATTTTAAACTGATCTTCCTCTATGTGCTGTGTCGCTTCAAGACATGGGCGATCATGACTCTCCACAACTTTCTATCTCGTGTAGTTCTAAGGAGTTCTAACTTTGCTAAAGCTTCCGCCTTCCGATCCTCATTCATTCACACGTTTCGGCCTTCCCCTATCTGTCGCGTTCTCAATATGCTCCGCGTGTGTTAAGTTTTCCAAGCCCTCTTTCCTCATTATGTGTCCAAGAGTTTTCAAGTGTCTTTTCCTGATTCTGAGTATATATGCTTTCTTTTTTTCTTTTTTTAAAGCATTTCACCCAAAGCAAGGCAGGAGTGCCACTAGCACGCAATGGGTTACAGAAAGTGAGAGCAAGAGTAAAGCGGCGTGATAGAGGAAAGGATGAAAATAAGCACAGGGATCAAGGCATCTGCAGATGTCGATTGACATTGCACTTGAATAGTTGGAGATTATAGCTATCAGGGAAGCAAGTAAGAGGAAGGGAGTTCCACAGACGGGAAGTGCAAGACATGAAGCTATTGGAGTAGAAGAGACGGCTACATTTAACCGTTTCGAGAGTGAAAGAGTGGGACTGAGATGCTGAACTAGTGGCACATTTAAATTAATACAGTCTGGGAACCAGCGAAAGTAGCTCGTCGGAGCAGTTACCATGAAAGTATTTATAGAAAAGACAGAGGGAAGAGACAGCACGTCTGTGAGAAAGTGACTGTAGACGAATTGCCAGCTCAGGACCAGTCGCATTGCATATACTTCTCTGGATTTTATCGAGGATCTGCTGCTATTTTCTTTAAGACTTTCTTGGTGCTTATTTGCTCCGTCCATGGAATTTTCAGTATCCTTCTTACGGACCACAGTTCTGCTACCTCTAGTTTTTCCCTCGCCAATGGGGAGATTGCCCAGCATTCACTGGGATATAACAGGATGGATATAACACAGAAATCCAGTTCAATTGATGACACAATTTCAAGCCACAATGATCATCTATGTGCCGCGTCTCCTCTGGACATAAGCGATCATGGCTCTCCACAACGTTCTATCTCGTGTGGCTCTTAGCAGTTTCTCTCCCTTTGCCTCCTGTTTGCCATCCATTCACAGAAACTCGTTAGGTAGATGGCTTTCTACCTTCCCCTACTTCTCTTGGACTCAATATGAAAGCATTAACCTATAAGTGAATATTGGAAGAAAGAAAAAGAAAGAAAGAATCAATTAAGGAATATTGGCATAAAGAGAGAAATATCAGCCAATAAATGAATACTGGCACAAGTAAAGAAAGAAAGAAAGAAAGAAAGAAAGAAAGAAAGAAAGGTTAACCTATAAGTGAATATTAGAAAGAAAAAAGAAAGAAAGAAAAAATAATCAATGAATGAATACTGTCAAAAAGAAAGAAAGATTAAACAATTAATGAATATTGGCACAAAGAAAGAAAGAAAGAAAGACAAAAAGAAAGAAAAAAAGAAAGAAAGAAAGAAAGGTTAGTCGATGAAGAAATGCCGGCAAAAGAAAGAAAGAAAGAAAGAAAGAAAGAAAGAAAGAAAGAAAGAAAGAAAAAGAAATGAAAAAATAAAAAAAGAAAGTTTAACGAAAGAAAAAGTTTAATAAATGAATGAATACTGGCATAAAAAGAGAAATATTAACCAATAAATGAATATGCGTACGAAAAGAAAGAAAAAGAAAAAAGAAAGAAAAAAGAAAGAAAAAAAGGTTTAATCGATGAATGAATAATGGCATAAAGAGAAATATTAACCAATAAATGAAAAGAATGAAAGTTTAATCTAGAAAGAAAGAAGTGAAAAAGGTTTAAAAGAATGAATAAAAGAAAGAATTAAATGAAGTTTAATCAATATATTGGCAAAATAAAAAGAAATTAAATGAAAATATTAACCAATAAATGAATATTGCTACACGAAAAGAAAGAAAGAAAGAAAGAAAGAAAGAAAGAAAGAAAGAAAGAAAGAAAGAAGGAAATATGAATTAAAATAAAGACCGGAAAACGAAGATAGTGCAAAATATTTAAGGGTTTGAAAAATAAAAACTGAGCTAAAGCGATGAAATAAATTTAAATATAAAAAGGAAAAGAAAGAGGATGGAATGGGGGGGGACGAACGCACGTTGACACGTCATCGATTCTCTTGTTTACTATTGGTAAATTTGAAAACTGACGCGTAATGGGAGAATATATTATTATGCGTTGCTTTCTTACGTAATATTAAAAGATGCCTTCTTTATAAGCGCGTGTAGAGAATAGCTGCCAAATTGGATTCTTTTTTAACATCAAGCGCTTTTCAATTTTCTATTTCATTCTTCTTCTATATCCCGCCTCCCATAAGGACACAGGCAATCATGGCTCTCCACAATTCTCTATCTGGTTTGAATCTTAGCAGTATTTGTACCTTTGCTAAAGTTTACGGCTTTCCACCTCGTCCCCAATCTATTCACACATGCACCATTGCAGCTCAGACCAAGAATCAATCATTATCTATCCTACATATCCTCATAATGTGCACCAGTTACTTGCTATCTTGACCCCTTTACAGTCACCTCTAACAGTAAACCACTTCAAGTCTAAGATCAGCCATTATCTATCCTCTTTATCCTCATAATGCGCACCTGTTACTTGCTCTCTTAAGCCCCTTACAATCACCTCATTCAGTAAACCACTTCAAGTCTAAGATCAGCCATTATCTATCCTCCTTATCCTCATAATGCGCACCTGTTACTTGCTCTCTTAAGCCCCTTACAATCACCTCATTCAGTAAACCACTTCAAGTCTAAGATCAGCCATTATCTATCCTCCTTATCCTCATAATGCGCACCTGTTACTTGCTCTCTTAAGCCCCTTACAATCACCTCATTCAGTAAACCACTTCAAGTCTAAGATCAGCCATTATCTATCCTCCTTATCCTCATAATGCGCATCTGTTACTTGCTCTCTTAAGCCCCTTACAATCACCTCATTCAGTAAACCACTTCAAGTCTAAGATCAGCCATTATCTATCCTACATATCCTCATAATGCGCATATATTACTTTCTTTTTAACTCCCTTGCAGCAACTTCATTCAGTAACCCATTTCAAGTCTAGGACAAAGTTTTATCTATCCTACATATCATCATAATGCGCACGTGTTGCTTGCTCTATTTACGCTCTTACAATCACCTGACTCAGTAACCCTCGACTCTAAGTAGTTCTTAGATCTTGTATTGGGTTAACAACAATATCAAAGTAATAATCCTTGTTGTTTTTCAGTATAAGCATATCACTGGTTTTACTTGTGTGTTCTTGTCCTATGTCTCTTTATGTCAGATGATAACAATCACCTACTCGAAATGCAAAAGTGTCCTACTAAGCTCTCGTTCATGTTAATTATATTTACTAGGTTTGTGACAAACAGATGATCGATCTATTTTTGTATTTAGTTTTTATGACTTCGCATTCATCTTTTATGGCTTTCATTGCAACATAAGAACTTCGTTCCATTGTTGTCGAACTAATTTCTGACTTCGGCTCAGGTTAAATGCAGATTTTTTTACCTACTAACTGACTAAAAATAGTTGGGTTTTTTTTTTTGTTGTTGTTGTTTTTTTTTACATACTAACTGACTAAAATTGTTGTTTTTTCCCACTGGCGTTAGTTGGGCTTAAACGCGGTGGAGCCACGCCCTACTGAAACCACGTATGACGTCTTTCTCATAACGGAAATCCATCTAATACAGGGCTAAGTAATGATTGTCGCCTGTTGTTATAGTGGAACACACCTATTCTATAGTTAATAGACTCTCCCACCTATAATAAGTAGGAGTAGTAAGAGTAACAAGTCAGTCGCGGAGTCGCTCGGTCTGAGTTCAGTCTGAAGTTGGACGACCGGCTGATCGGTTGAACTTTCTGCCTTCAGGCGGGGAGGAACCCGAAAGTGGCTACGCCGAAGGGCGGATTCTCTTTCGGGGAGGTAAACCGACCCTGAACCCGTTTATACGGGTTCAATGGGCATATTTTTGGCTGAGCCCGCGGGATCGGAGATCCCTTGGGTTCGGAGATCCCACGGGCTCGGAGATCCCATGTTAAACCGGCCTTGTGCCACATGATGCCCACGGGGGCGACTAAATATCGTCGCGGGGTTGGTCAGTCAGTCAGTTGATGTCGGACGACCGTTAGTCGGATATTAAAGTATCAGCGACCACAACTAGATTGCTGCGTCATTACCTATTATATCAAGTCCCTAACGTTTTGTACGTCGAACCTATTTTAGGACCGACTTAGTACAAATACAAGCCTCCACTGTGAAACCACTACATGACACTTGTAAAGATATGTCACTTTAGGTTTATGCTAAATAACAGTAAAGTCAATCATACTGACGTATCTTTCTTTTTATGTGCCGTGTCGTTTCAGGATGTAGGCGGCCATGGCTATCTACTTCCCTCTATCCCTTGCATCTCTTAATAAATTTCGTCCCTCAAACCACGTTCTGTCATCCACTTGCTTCAGTCCGCCAGGTATGTCATGCGTTGCTTTCCCTTGTCTCTCTTTCCCTCTATTCAACTTATGAGCATCAGATTCTCCAAGCCTTCCTTTCTCATTACGTTTCCCAGAAACTTCAGCTGCCTCTTACTGGCGTTAAGTATAAGCCTCCCCCTTGTTTGGATTCTCTTCAAGACCTCATCGTTGCTCACACGCTTGGTCCATGATATGCTCAGCATCCTTCTGTAGAACCTTATCTCCGTCGCCCCGAGTCCCTTCTTCATTTCTGAGGAGACCGTCCAACATTTGCTGATATCAAGAAGGACAGATGCCACATAACAGCTCAGTATTCTTTTCTTCCTTACCAAAGAAATCCTCCTGTCTCGCAATATCCTGCCCAGCTTTTGGAATGCGCCCTTGGCCATCCCAATACGTCTACGGTCGCACTTACCGTCCTCTGTCAAAACACTTCCCAGATATTTAAACTTCCGCACCTGCTTGATGCTAGTGTCCTCGAACTACAAATCGCATTTCGAGCTCAGCCTTTTACTGATAACCATTTGTATAAGCGCGATTATAACGCTGATTATAAAAAACAATCTTTGTTTTGTTTTTACTATGGCCGTGCTGAAATATGTGTTAATTTTGTTTGCAATAAATAGTAAAATAGTGATATTTCTTAAACTATATTTTTCATTGACAAACAAAAGGTGACGATTCTAGATTATTTAAAGAATTTGCAATAAGTTTACTTAGAGCTTTCTTTCTTTCTTTCTTTCCGTATGTCAATATATTAATTTATTGGTTAATATTTCTCTCTTTATGCCAGTATTCCTTCATTGTTTAATTCTTTCTTTTCCTTTCTTCCAATATTCACTTATAGGTTACTTTCATTCTTTTTACTTCCTTTCTATCTTTATGCCAGTCTTATGTCATCGATTAATCTATCTTTCTTTCTTTCTTTTTTACTGCGCATGTATTGGTTAATATTTCTTTCTTTATACCAGTATCCCTTTCTTTCTTCCAATATTCACTTATAGGTTAATCTTTCTGTCTTTCTTTCTTTGTGCCAATATTCATTAATTGTTTAATCTTTCTTTCTTTTTGCCAGTATTCATTCATTGATTGTTTTTTTTTCTTCTTTTTTCATTCTTCTAATATTAACTTATAGGTTAATTTTTCTTTCTTTCTTTCTTTCTTTCTTTCTTTCTTTACGTGTGCCAGTATTCATTTATTGATTAATATTTCTCTCTTTATGCCAATATTCCTTCATTGATTCTTTCTTTCTTTTTCTTTCTTCCAATATTCACTTATAGGTTAATGCTTTCACTTTTAGGCCAAGAGAAGTAGGGTAAGGTAGCGAGCCGTCTACCTGACGAGCCTGTGTGAATGGATGGCAAAACAGGAGGTAAAGGGAGAGAAACTGCTAAGAGCCACACGAGATAGAACGTTGTGGAGAGCCATGATCGCCCATGTCCTGGGAGGACGCAGCACATAGAAAGTCATTGTGGCTTGAAAGTGTGTCATCAAGACGGGTGCAGACGAGTTAGAGCGTGGCTTCCCTCTGAGAGTGGCGCTTATAATTTCATTTAGTCTATAGGCTCCAAAAGCTTATAATCCGGCTCTGCTAACGAACATTCTACTAAAAGTTCTTTTCGTAACTATAATTATTTCTTCTTCTATGTATCGTGTCCATTCAGCACATAGGCAATCTCCATAATTCACTGTCTTTTGTAGCTCGTGCTAATGCTTTATTTCCACTATCTCTCTTAATCCACGTTATTCCAACTATATACACAAGCTACGTTATGGACAACTTTCCTCTGCCCCTCTCGTTTTGTTATGTCTAATACCGAAGTGAATAACAGGATATAAACTATTCGTCAAATTTCAGCAAATATAGTGATTTTCCAAGCGTAGCTTAAATGTGGCACAAGGCCGAAAGTATGGGGCACCTAGTGAGGATCGAACTCACTATTCAGTTGTAGGCACGGTGGAGTAATGGATAGCGGCTTGGATTGAGGAATCGGAGAGTCGAGTTCGAATTCCAGTCGAATCCATTAACATTCACTTATGTGCTAACACCCTTGGGAAAGATGTGAATCCTCTTTCTTCTCCCTCCAGCTATGGGTAAATAGCAGGACAGACTGGGTTCTATAGCCTTGGATGGCAACTGGTCTAGGAGAAGGAAAACTCTGAATTCAAACCTGCTCTTAGAGGAGGGTGAATGGAGTCTCTCTGAGCCTTGGTTGGCAATCCGTTTAGTGTTGGCGTCACGATAAAAAGCAACCTTGATAGCCCTAGCGAAGCATCAAGAATTCAGCTATTTGACAAGATTTTGAACTACACCAATCAAAGTATTGGTGAGTTCGATCTCGGCTGAGGCCGCAAGATGATGAATTCAGTCGTAACTGTTCTTGCGAGACAAGCTTGCTAACACTGCCTCAAGTGCCAGAGAGGGAAATAGGAATTATAAAGTAGAATCCGTGGAACGCCATGATCGTCTACCTCTAAACGTGGACCAGTCAATTAAACCTGAAACTATTTCAAGCTTGACACGGTGGGGTAATGGATAGCAGCTCGGATTGCGGAATCGGAGGGCCGAGTTCGAATTCCAGTCGAATCCATTACATTCACTTACGTGCTCTTACGTGCAAATACCCTTGGGAAAGGTATGAATTCTCTTCTAGCTATGGGTAAATAGCAAAACAGACCGAGTTAGCAACTCGTCTACCGCAGAAAGAAATGGCAACCTACTGCGGGAAAAAATATGTCTCGTCAGTCATGTAACGAAAGATAGATGATCGCATAAGCGTGTATCACGCATAGCACATAACTGACTGACTTTCAAGTTTCTTCTATGTTTTGCCATTCATACCAGTATATTCATTTCAGTTGTTATACTCACAATATTTTGACCGTTCTATTCTCCGGTCTTTTTTTTAGGTGCCTGTCTTCGTACTCAGTAACTGACTTGGAAATTGAAACTTTATTCACTCCATGAGGCCAAATATTCAAGCGTAACGGATTAAAGCTTTAGTTAAAACATGGGATTCCCTAGACGCTGTGAGTTCAATCCTTGGGTTTGTTAGTGCCGAAAATTGACATACGCTTGCTCAGTAATAGAAACAGACAAGCGACACAGAAGCGCGTAAAACTGGTGGCTACTAACCGATACGATACGAAATATCCTCTAAGCAAGTAAAGCTGAATGAATCATCATAGAAAACCATGTTTATCCTCTATCAGCATGGCTGATGCTAACCTCCATTGCATCTGCTTGGAAATTTGATTCACTGAGTTGTGCTAGACCCTTTTTCGCGACAGAGTCCGTCTTGCCCATTTATAAATCTACCATTTGTCCGGACATTAAATATTGCTGCCATATTTGATCTGGTACTCCTGCTATATATCTCGAGATCCTAGGCAAAATTCAAAGAAGGGTCTGTAATGTTATTGGGTCTGACACTTCAGTCACTCTCTCTCTAACGCGACGTGGCTTCCCTCTCTCTCTATTCTGTTAAACTCGATATATGCAACCGTAAGTTCTATTCCAATAGTTTCTCGCATGTGGAACTCCATTCGGATTTATTGCTTCTCTGCCATCTATACTCTTCAAAAATTTAAATGCAATGCCAATCGCCATCTTCTGTCTTTCTGAAAACGGTTCTTTTATTGTCTTTTCTTGGCACTAGTTTTCTCATTCTCTTCCTCCCAGTAACCCCTTACACTTACTTTGGGTAAAATACTTTAAAAAATATTCTGCCACACACACATATATATATATATATATATATATATATATATATATATATATATATATATATTCTTAAATGTCTATAATTGGTAACAGAAGCCGTTGGTTTATACCAACGGCTTCCCATACTTAATACTTCTCGAATTCACTCTCGCGTGGTCATGTGTGACATCATGAGCTGCGGTGCGATTTTCGCTTCCAGCGTCTTATATGCACGTGTTTATCGTTGCTTGGAAATCATCCATGTAAACAGAAACAGACTATCATCACTGTCTTGTCCGTGTATT